ATATAAAGAACAAAGATAAAAAAAAAAAAAGAAAAGGTGCCCCCTGCAGACAGTAATTGTTATGTTAATTTTGGTTTCCAAAATGAAAGGAGGTATTTTAAGTGTTCTAAAAAGTATAAGCTACTTTTTTTATTTTAATTTTTTAATTATACTTAAAATTGTTTTACCTTATTTTTAAAGCTCATTTATGCATATCTCTGATAGCATTCTGGTTTCTGAGTTACTATTTGTTCTGGAAAAATAAGGCGCGAGTCACTGGTATCGTGGTTTTCAGACAGTGGCTGCTACCCTTGTGCTTCATGGCACAAAGGCTAAACTTTAAGAAGAGCTGTCATGGCTCCTATAAAGCATTTTCAGTTGGTCCATTCTGAAAGCCAATGCATTTCAATTTTAGATTGAATCACAGTTAATATATGTCTTTTTTATCTGCACAGAGATCTAGATTAAACTGCCACCAACTTTGTCATATTGTCATATCCCTTTGTCTGCAGTCCCCCCACCCCAAGCCCCAGGACTGCCCCCTGCACACACTAAACACTAGAAAAGGACCTCTCAAGGAGATTCTGATGGTAGAATGTGGTTTCTTGGGAGGCTAGTGAGGAAGACGTTTTGGCCAGAGCTTTTCAACACTCCTGTAACCAAACTATTCCCATTCCTGGGACTACCACAGTTGCATTTGCAACTCCTTCACCACTTGCTAAGAGAGAGAAAAAGTTTAAATAAGGTGACTGTCACTGCCGGTATACCCCTAACAAAACCCCACACCTTGAGGACCCACGAAGGGCAGTCTTCTCCGGCCAGCGGTAAACATGAGACCTTCAGCCAAGAGGTAAACAAGTCTGCACTGGGCTTCCTGACCGAGCCCTTGTTGTAATTCTGTTTCTCTTGGTCCCTTTTTCATTCTATATTCGGTGGCTGTGGGCAGTTAGAGATTAGGGCGGGATCCGGGGGGTGGGGCAGGATGTGGGGCTTGCCTGTCTGCTGGGTGGTCAGACAGTGCATCGCTGCCGCTGAGGCTGAGTTCTGGACTCTAAGGCACACGTCCCAGACAGGGCGGCTGCCCGGCCAGTGCTGAGTGACAGATCTGAGGGGACAAACAGCTCTTTACCAGCCTTCAGAGCCTCAGACATGGTGCCAACCCTGGCTGCCTATGGAAGCATGCATTTCAGTTTGTGTGAAAAGCCCTAGGCGTTCTCCTTGGCAGCTGATTGTCCTGTTGTATCTTCCATGGTGGCTATTTTCCTGCACGGAGGAGGGTCCAGCTTACCAGGCCATCCGAAGGCAGAATAGTTGTAAGCAGGGCCATGGTGATCGTGTTGCTAGGCCAGGCGTGACAGTACAAGATGGATGGGTGAGTCTGTCTCATCCGTAAGTGGGCTCAGTGCAGGAAAGGCCCGAGGGCACGGCCGGGCGAGGGCCTGCGGCAGCTCCCGTTCACTTGCTGTTGGCCTGGCTTCGTCCTTGGCTTAGAGATGAGGCAACTGAAGCTCTGAGAGAGTAAAGCCTCCCCCCACCCCATCATACTTGAAAGACACCAAGAAGGAATTAAAACCAGGTTCTGTCTGATCCATAGGCCTTTGTACTTTCAGGACACTGCGGGGAGGTCTCTCTCTTTCTAATCTCGGAGTATCTCGGTATGGAGAGCTTCGTGACTAAAATAAAGAGGCTGAGTTGACGTCGTCGGAATAATCATTTCCGTGTGCTCCTCGCAGATCCCCTTTAGAAGTTAGCATCCCGGCACTAGCTTTGCTTTCGCTGCGGAGCTTTTTACTTATACCATCTGTGGCTCTTCTCCAACTCATGTTTTTCTGATTCGCAAACTTCTGGACTTCCTCGTGGTGTCTATTCTCAGGGTGCTTTCCTTTCCTTCAGCTGTGCAAATACTAAAGTTTTTATCATGCTGAACATAAACACATGGAAACATGTGCCGTTTGCTGTGCAGACCTCTCCTTTCCTGGACTGCACCCTGCACACAAACACACTTACCACCTTCATTGCCAAAAATAAGGCTCAAATTCAGCTCGATCAAAATAACCCGTTTATAGGCGAGCCAGTGTTTTGCGTGTCTTCCTCTGCACATTTATTTATTTTGCTTAAGCATTTCCTCCTAGGCTCTTAAATTAAGCCTTAAGGTAAACTGGGGAGAGAAGGAGAATAAACAGAGCCCAGTGACCGACTCGTCAGGGCAGCAGCTAGCGTAATGGGGTTGGGAACTTGGAAGGAAATGACATTTCATATACAGGAATATTAAGAAACAATTTGCCAAAGCAAACCCACAAATCCTTTTTTTCCTTTGCTTGCATAATCCAAGCATTTATCCAGCACTTTGTCACATTTCCTTCCATGATTCTAGCCAGGCTGTATTTTTCCTATAGTCTCCGGAAGCATTTTCTCCAGACAGTTAACCCTGCCCTTCTATACAAATTTAGTGTGACTTAATGAAATAGAAGTTCGTTAAAGAAAACATGTTGTTTTTTTTTAAAGAATGTAGAGGCAAGAAATTTGGTGACAGCTTCTGGACTTACAGCCTTGTCTCACATGCGAGCCTCAGCAACATGTCTGTAAAGTGAGGACAGTCACATTGTCATCGGGCTGTGGCACCACACAGCTTATCAATGCCTGGCACACAGGGACTGTGTAATAAATGTCCGCCATTGTTATTATCATCAAAATGTTGAACTTGTGAACGGTGACGATCGAAATGTGTGAAGTCACCTTAAATAATAATGGCTCAAACCCCCTTGTGGAGGAGGCACGAGAGGTTGTCACATGCTGGTGGGACAGACAGAGAGACAAAGTAGGATGGCTCCGTGGCTGAGAAAGGTACAGCTACGACCAGCGCTGTGGCATTAATACACGGGAATGTCGCATGTGTGGATGAGAAGAGGGATTGCTAAGAAATTAAACATCCAGAAATGAACGGTGAAGGGTCTGGGGTACGTGAGAAGCGCATACCCTGCATGGGAGATTGATGGGTGTGTCAGAACCGGACGTCATTAACGGAGTCGAATGACTAGCTCTCCGCATTCTGCCTCTGCTCACCATGCAAACTTCAGTGATCAGCTGCTTCCCTGTGGACTTTGCCTGAATCCAGACCCGCCTACTGCCCCGTGTCTCTCAACTGTGACACATGTTAGTGAATGTGCTTAGGAAACGCTTGTTCAATGAGTGAGGGAATGAAAGGATGAATAAGAAAAAATTAAAGAAGTGGGAAAAGAACCAGGAGAGCAAATTTCAAGAGAAAAGAGAATTTTAAGGCACTGTCAAGTGCTGCACGCAGGTCACAGAGGAGAAAAGGTCATTGGATTGGGCCAGAAGTAGGTCACTGGCAGGATGTAGGAGGTGACAGAACAGAACAGAAGGGACCGAAGGCCAGAATGAGCAGATAGAAAGCACAAGCTGCAGATGGGAACTGTCTGTTTGAAAGGCCTGGCTGTGAACTGAAGGGGAGAGAGAGCTCAGGTGCTAAAAAGAAAGCAAGTTGTGGGCGTGTGTGTGGCTCAGTTTCTCTTGTGTTTTGTGATTTTTCTTTTATTGTGAACTTTAATTCACAATAAAACACGATCTTTGGACTTTTCCAATTCATTCCTCCAGAGAGGGTTTGTGTGTCTGCCACGTGTGTGAGGACACTACAGACCTGGCTCCAGGGAAACGGGCCCAGAAGTGAACGTTTTCAGCTCAGGATGTCCTTACCATGCAAACAGTGTAGATTTTTATCCTACGTCCATGCCTGAACTTTGCAGTGGCTGCACAGCCCCAGGAGCGCTTTTAATCCCCATCGTCAGGTTTCTTTAGGCAGCTTGTTTGGCTGCTTGTCGCTGTGAAGGGCTTTTATTCACTTGTTTCTGGTGAACGCTTCCCTGTGTGCATGTGTGGCTTTTCCTGAGCATGGCTCGGATGGGAAGATGCAAAATTCTAGACGCCTGGATATAGGGGCTCCCCAAGGAGCCCACCTACTTCCGTCTTCTTTAGACCTCTGCTTAATCACTGGCAGCCTCGCAGCCCCCTTCATTCATTTTGAAAGTGTTTTTAGTATTTTATCTAGCACTTTGTCAATGAAGTAAAGGAGTTATGAATGAATGTATTTTATTTTTGTCAAGTAGCATTTAAATACAGTTGAAAAATGGCACAGTTATTGGTGGGAGAGTTCATCCCCGTTTGGGTCCACTGCCAATGCTGGGCGCCTCAGTGAGGTGGTGGGTCCCTTGAAACGTTGCACCAGTGATCAGAATTGATGAATTCTGAATGGCTTACAGACTGGCACCGCTGTCCCTAGGAGGCCTGCGAAAGCCCTGGGCTCACGTTCCCCCTGAGTGACTTTGGGGGAAGTGATTTTTCGCATCTGTACGATGCACTGGTTTATCTGGTCTGTCTCCCCACGCAGCATGGTTACAGACATTCGGGACGTGCTGGTGTGTGGGACCCCAGTGCTGCCTGGGCAGCGTGAGCCCCTGCAGGCGCCCTCAGTCTCTGGCAATCTCGTCTCTACCCAGATGTGCCATAAACATCATTCTCCATGGGCGCTATGTCGTGAAAAGGGTTAAGAAGCATGGTCTGGAAAGTCTAACAGTCCTGTGTCTCTAACTGTCGATTCTAAGAGCATTGATGCACTCCCCTTCTCTGGGCACTTGCTCAGTGAATAAGCGTATTGTGTCCAGGAGAGGGGGGTGGGCTTCGCCCAGAGTGGCTTTGACCTGAACTCCTCAGAAGTAGCCGCATAGCTTTGTGGAGGAGAAAAATCTCAAGAACGTTGTGCTGAGTGACTTGTGTAGAGCCGGCAGTGGCATTCTGGGAAAATGCTTCTGGGGCTTTGAGACCCAAGACCCAGGTCCCGGTTCCTCCAACACAGACCATGTTTGTTAATGAAAGGCTCCCTTGTTCCATCGCCCCCTCACTGCTTTCCATGAGCACAGAGCTCCAGAGGCAGCTGACGCGATCCCCGCCCCGTCCGTCCTCGCTCTGCTTGGAGTTCACAGTTGCACGCCTTTGTTTTACTTCAGGTTGTCAGTCTGCCTCCCTGGTATTTTGAACAGCTTGAACTACTGGAGCCGGTTTCCCGTCCTTGTCGCCGGTTTACTGCTCCTGAAGAAAGAGTCGAATCGTGATGCTCTCAGAGGCCTTAGGAACGCACCTTCTGGCTGGCGCCCAGGCCGTGGAAACATTCGCTGCTCTTCATCCTCGAGCTGCATTTTGTCTCCAGGGAAGCAGGCCAGAAAATGAAGGTGAGGCTGGTTAATGAGGTCATATGTATAAAGTTGTCCTAGGATTCGCTGTAATGAAGCCAGAGCTATTCCTAATGTCCGAGAATAAGAGCGGTCTTATAGGGAATGAAGACCGGGGGCCTGAGCTTGGGGCCACATTCATTCCTGTAGACACGCGATGTGTGTCGCACACATGGAAATAGAAGGTGACGGTGGCTTTTTAAGTTGGTGCTATGGTTCCCGTGTATACAGTCACTCCATAAATTGCTTCACTTTGTAGCATGAATGGGACGATCCTCTTTTTCACTTCTCAGCATGCTGCTTCGTGATTTCTTGTCCTATAGCTGTTTTTGATATTGACCATATCTCCTGTACCAAAATTGTGGCCGTTACAGGTGGGGGGG